GGCGATCTGGGGCGATCTGGGGAGATCTGGGGACGCATGGGGAGGCATGGGGAGGCATGGGGAGGCATGGGGGAGATATGGGGAGATATGGGGGAGATATGGGGGGATATGGGGGGATATGGGGGAGATATGGGGGATATGGGGAGATCTAGGGAGATCTGCGGAGATAATATGGGGGAGATGTGGGGGAGAGATACGAGAGCCGGTCGCCGTCGAAGGTCATCAGCACCGGCCGAGGACCAAAGGCGCAGCACTGGTCCATCCGGCCGCACTGCGAAGGCGTCGTGATCTCGCCGTGGTACCCCAGGTCCATCTCTCCGCGCACCTGCGTTGACCGGAAAGTGTTCGCAAGTGTCTCGCAAGGGTCTCGGAAGTGGTCTTGGAAGTGTCCCAACAGCTGTGGATGGGTATCGGGTGCCGACCCGGGAAGGTGGAGAAGCGGATCGCCGGCACTCGGCGCGGTGGGCGGCTAGGAAATATCTCGGAAAGGTCTCCACACCGTCAGCTTGAGGTCGTACACGCGGTTGAAGGCGCGGGCGGCGAGGACGCAGGCGGCGGCGGAGGAGGAGAGGCCCTTTCGCGCGGGAAGGTCCGTCTTGTAGTTGTGCAGCACCAGCCCAGACACGTGGCAGCGCACCAGGATCTGGTACGCCACGCCGGCCACGTAAGAGAAGTGGTCGCCGGTCGCCGCGGCGGCAAGGAGAGCCTGCGGATCCATCGAGAACTCTGTGGGCCCGCAGACGTTGCCACCCTGGTCGATCGAGGTGACAATCAGCTTGGACGGGTGCCGGCACGCCCGCGCGTACAGGCCCTGGTTGGTGCCCGACACGAGGCACATGCCGGGCAGCAGCGACGAGTTGAAGCGCCGATACGAACCGGCCCAGTCGGAATGCTCGCCCATGAGGCAGATGCGGCCGGGGACAAAGAGCTCTACCGTGCGCTCCGAGGCCATGTACTCCTCGAGATCTTCAATCGCGCTGAAGGCCATTGTGATCGCTCTCGCGCGAAGGCAAAGGCAAAGGGAAAGTCAACTCGCGCCGACGCAATGTGGGGTGATCGGGCGCGCTTTGCGAGCATCATTCGTTGCTTTTTTTTTAAGCTAGACTTCGTTGTTATTTTTTTTCCTTTTAACGCACAACCCCGGGCCCGAAATCGCAGAGAGCTTTTTTTTCATTTTCTTTTGCTTTAATTTTCTTTTTGTTTGCTTAAAAAGAAAGAACATTTACTTGGCGCCGCCACCAATGACAGCAAGAAAAACAAAAACGAATTCTCCTTAGATACTGGTAAAAAGAAAAAGTGCTCGAGTGTGTATATGTCGCGCTCGCCCCGCGCACGCACCGAGGAGGACGCCCCGCCCACGGACTGGCTGGGCGAGCTGCCGCCGGAGCTGCACCTCCGCATCCTCGAGGGCGTCGACGACTTCTCCGACTGCGCCGCCTTCAGCCTCGCGTCGCCGCGCCTCGGCCTCCTCGCCCTGCGCAGCGGCCTGGCGCGCTTCAAGGACCCCCTCTTCGCCGTGGCGATGCGGCTGCTGCTCGTCCAGCGCCGCTGCGCCGACCCCTTCGTCACGGTGTCGGCAACGCTCAATGAGGTTATCCTCCGCAGATACGCCGCCGACCGCCGCGCCAGCGCCGACCACTTCCCGTGGCTTGCGAGGGTGAGCCCGGCGCTCCGCCTCTCGTCGGAAGTGACGGGTGCTGGCGCGAGTCGCGCCGAACACTGGAGACTGCGGCGCGGCGAAGAGAATGGCGCGAATCTGCGGCGACGCCTCTTGCAGTCCGGCACGGTGCAGCACTACGAGGGCGAGCGAGGCGCGGAGCGGGTGGTGCGCATGGAGTCTGCCGACGGCGAGGTGGCCTTCTACGAGGGCGAGCGAGGCGCGGAGCGGATGGTGCGCATGGAGTCTGCCAACGGCAATGTGCAGTACTACGAGGGCGAGCGAGGCGCGGAGCGGCTGGTGCGCATGGAGTTAGCCGACGGCATGGTGCAGCACTACGAGGGCGAGCAAGGTGCGGAGCGAATGGTGCGCATGGAGTTGCCCGACGGCACTGTGCTGCACTACGAGGGCGAGCGAGGTGCGGAGGAGCGGGTGGTGCAGGCGGGCGCGAGCGAGGACAAGGCGGCCGTGAAGAAGCGGTACAAGGCCATGCGGGTCGCAGAGCTGAAGAGCGAGTGCGAGCGCCTCGGCTTGGCCACCACCGGCGTCAAAGCAGCGCTCGTGGCGCGCCTCGGCCTGGCGGCCTGAGCCTGTTGAACTCTCGTGCGCATATATGTTCATGAATGACTCCACCGGTGGAGACTCCAGCGCTGTTCTTCACCTTCCTACTTGAATCCTACACACAATGACATGTGCATGTGCACATGTTGTATGGCTAGTTCCAATTCACTCTGACACGCGCTAATCTTGAAAACGCGTCCAACGGAGCTCCGTGTTGCTCCCAGCGGAATCCCCCGCGCTTCCTGCGGCCATGGCCGATGATACTAGTATGAGAGGTCATCTAGCTACCGCGAGCGCGACTCAACTCGCCGACATCGTCCGATGATTGTGCCGCAAAGTCAGCCTTCGGAGGCTATCGTGGGGTCGAGCCGGCAGTAGCCGTGACATGTGGTTCCACCACCCCTCGCAGGCTTTGCCTCTGACCGCCACCGTTCCCAGGCTGCCTAATGGGATGGAAAGGAAGGCTCGGCGAGCGTATAGAAGCGTGCTCGACCTCGTCGTGGCAACCTGCACGGCAGCGCTGGTATGCGCGATGAGCGTCGTGCCACCTGACCCAAGACGGGTCGCAGGCGTCGTACCGAGCGTGTCGAGACCGTGTCCTGATGTGATCTGCACGGGTGAGTCACGTCGGCGTCAAAGGAGCGACGTGCGACCTGTCAGAGCTTGATCTCCGATCTCAGCGGCGTCGAGTCCCTGGGGGGTCGACGGGCCCCCGGGGGCGACGGGGGTGCTCTCGCGGGGGGTCCCCCCAGTCAAGGGGGTCTGGGGCGCAGCCCCAGGTAGCCCGCCGCAGGCGCCGATTTTTTGGGGCTTTTTTGACTGATTTTCATGAGGTGTTGCTACTATTTTGGGACCAGTTGATGCCTAAAAATGGCTACAAATACAGCCACACCAGCTGCTAGTCGTGAGCTGCTACTGTGTGGCAGAGCCCAGAGAGAGGGCTTTCAGGAGCACTATTCAGTTTGATCCAGCTCGACGTTGTGGAGTAGTAAGACTGTTCCGTTACCGTGAGCGGCCGGCGGCCGGCGGCGCGGGCGCGGCGGCGGCGCGGGCCGCGCCCCCGCCCCCCCCGGGCCCCCCCCCCCCCCCCACCCCCCCCCCCCCCCCGGCCGACATAACTTTCCGTACGCAACTATTTAACGGTGTTGCATTTTGCACACGGCGTCAGGAGGATCAGGGGGAGCACAGGCTGGGGATATTTCCACTCGGCGGGGTCGCAGCTGCCTCTGGAAGGCACCGAGATGTCCCTTTTTGCGCAAATGGTCAAATCAAGGTTTTGCGACGCGAGCTGTGCCGCATGTACACATGTGCATGTTGTAACCACTTCACGTACTTTCACACCAGCGGTGTGCGCGTGCAAGGGGGGCGCCGCATGTGCTTAACCTCGCGGCGCAGCTACTGCTGCGGACCGCGGCGGACCGCGAGGCTGACGGGAAGGGCGTCCGGTATTGCAGGGAGGACGACTGTCATCGAAAATGGCGCCGTGAGACCCGTGTTTGGTGTTACGTAAGGTAAATGGCGGCATGTACACCTCCTGAGCGTGGGTTATGGCCGTGGGTTATGGCCCCCCTCATTGAACACGCCGGGGTTGGACCTACCCCAGCATCTAGTCTTCGTGCTGGGAAAGGCGCGCGCCAGCTCGTGAGCGGAGGATTCCGACTCAACATTGAGCTCGATAGCGCACGGGGCGGTTGCTAGGACTTCCCGCGCCCGTGCATGATGTTCCTCCACCCAGCGCGCCAGCCCCGTCTCGTTGCGTGGCCAGAGTGGGCATGCTTTGGCGAAGCGCTGCATCAGTGGGTTGTACTTCTTCCCCCAGTGCGTGCCCCAGTCCCGGACCGAACCGAGCCAGTGATTGAGAGGCCGCGTATTGAGGATGAAACATGCGTGCGGTAGCAGCGACACAAGTGACTGCAGGTGCGTGATCTGCGGGAGCAGGCAAAGGTCGCGAGCAACAAAGTCGATCTGGGCGTACACATCGGCGTCTCCGCAAGCCTTGCGAAAGCGTGACTCCGCAGCGGCGGGCGAAAGCCCTGCCGGAGAAGCGGCTGCATCGGCCAGAAAGTCGAGGATACAGGCTGCGCATGGTTGCTGGCGACTGGCGTAGCGATTGCCACACCCCCGCCAATGTATCGACTGCCAGCCATTGCACTTAAAGTAATCATGCAAAGATGATGTGCCGGCCTTGGGCATGCCGACAGCAATCGTGAGCGGGCGAGAGCTGTCCAATGCTGCGCATCGCGCCTGCGTATGCGCGTGGACCGCCGAGCAGTGCAGCCTCTTGCCACCAATGGCGAAGGTGCCACCACAGCCCGGTGCGACCCACACCTCCGAGCCGGCACAGCCAAAACTGTGCCCCACGCCGAGCGAGCAGTTGCCACCTTTCGCCGCCCGCACGATCTCGCAAGACTTCGACGCAAACCCCACCATAGCTCGCACTCAGCCCAGCGCGGCGGCGTCCAACAAGGCAAAGCGAGGGCACTCTCTAGCACTTTCTAGCAGCTCGTGCAGAGGAGGGCGTCACTGGTCAAAGGAAAGCGAAGAAGGAAGCAATGCGGGATATCGTTTATGGAAAGGTTGATCGCGACTGCCCGCAGCGTGCCAAATTTAGGAATCAAAGAAGGAGGGGGAAAAGGGCGTGTCAAGGGTAGGCCGAACGTACGTACTTTTAGCTTACTGGGAGAAAAGGGAGAGGGGGTTGTGTTCTAGGCCCCTAAGGGCCCTACGCGCGGCGTGAGAGCTCGGAATGAGAAAAAAGAAAATAGAGCCCGCACGACAGCAAATGTCGCGCTCGCCCCGCGCACGCACCGAGGAGGACGCCCCGCCCACGGACTGGCTGGGCGAGCTGCCGCCGGAGCTGCACCTCCGCATCCTCGAGGGCGTCGACGACTTCTCCGACTGCGCCGCCTTCAGCCTCGCATCGCCGCGCCTCGGCCTCCTCGCCCTGCGCAGCGGCCTGGCGCGCTTCAAGGACCCCCTCTTCGCCGTGGCGATGCGGCTGCTGCTCGTCCAGCGCCGCTGCGCCGACCCCTTCGTCACGGTGTCGGCAACGCTCAATGAGGTTATCCTCCGCAGATACGCCGCCGACCGCTGCGCCAGCGCCGACCACTTCCCGTGGCTTGCGAGGGTGAGCCCGGCGCTCCGCCTCTCGTCGGAAGTGACGGGTGCTGGCGCGAGTCGCGCCGAGGCCGAGGTCCTGCGTGCCGATGTGGTAGATGAGGCAGCGCTCGGCGGCGGCCTCGATGTTCGCGTCGGGCCAAGCCATGCAGCGCGCCAGCTGCGAGACGGTGTACTGGATGTCGGGGCGCGCGTTGGTGGCGAACATGAGGCTGCCGATGAGGCACTGGCAGCGCTGGAGGAGCTGCGGGTCGGGCACGGTCTTCTTCTCGGCTGCGCTGATGACGATGGACGGGAGGTCCTTGTCCGCGGGCACCTTGTAGCCCGCGTGCGTGACGCCTGACGGGAAGAAGCGCGCGCGCAGCGTGTCGATGTACTTGCTGGCAGACAGCTTGAAACCGGTCTGCGTCTTGGTGATGGTGAGCCCGAGGAACTCGTGCACCTTTCCCTCGTGGACCTTGAGCGGCTTGCCGACGTTCTTCCACTCCGGGACCACCGCTGGCAGGGCGCTCGCGCACGAGTACATCGAGCACTTCAACAAGCACGTCGGCAAGCCGCTCAAGGTCCACGAGGGAAAGGTGCACGAGTTCCTCGGGCTCACCATCACCAAGACGCAGACCGGTTTCAAGCTGTCTGCCAGCAAGTACATCGACATGCTGCGCGCGCGCTTCTTCCCGTCAGGCGTCACGCACGCGGGCTACAAGGTGCCCGCGGACAAGGACCTCCCGTCCATCGTCATCAGCGCAGCCGAGAAGAAGGCCGCGCCCGACCCGCAGCTCCTCCAGCGCTGCCAGTGCCTCATCGGCAGCCTCATGTTCGCCACCAACGCGCGCCCCGACATCCAGTACACCGTCTCGCAGCTGGCGCGCTGCATGGCTTGGCCCGACGCGAACATCGAGGCCGCCGCCGAGCGCTGCCTCATCTACCTCATCGGCACGCAGGACCTCGGCCTCCACTACGAGCGCGTCGCCGACCCCAAGCTCTTCGGCTGCTCCGACGCGAACTGGTGCACCCGCCAGAGCACCTCCGGCTGCGCCTTCAAGATCGGCACCGCGATCATCTCGTACTTCTCCAAGAAGCAGGGTCACATCTCCCTCTCGACATTCGAGGCCGAGATCTCTGCCGGCACGCTGGCGGCTTGCGAGGCGGTCCACCTGCGCTCGCTCCTCGCGTCGCTCGGCTACAAGCCACTGTGAAGGTCTTCAGTGACCACTCACAAGCTGTTCCAAGGCCCGACAGAAATGTACTGTCAAAACTTTGTTCAAACAAAAGTCCTGGCCCGCGGCCCCCACACCCACAATGACTATCAATCCAGGCTGCGGGTGAAGGGCAAAACCGCGCCGCTGCAGAACGGTTTTTGCAAAACCGCGCCGCAGCGGTACGAAACTGCGCAGATGCAGTCCAGGGGTGGTAAGGACACTATGTGTGTGTGTGTGTGGCCGTAGACTAGACGGCTGCGCGGTCGTCGGTCTTCAACAGCCCAAGGGCCCGACCATCATCAAAATCGACAACACGGCCGCGCTGCGCGTCGCCGAGGACCCGGTCATGCACGACAAGACGAAGCACATCCTGCGCAAGGAGCTCAAGATTCGCGAGCTCGTCGAGTCCGGGGAGGTCAAGGTCGAGTACGTCGAGAGCCTCAAGAACTTCGCCGACTTCTTCACCAAGCCGCTCCCGCGCAAGGAGTTCGAGTCGTTCCGCAAGGAGATCATGAACGACACCGCCTAGGACGGCACAGAGGGGAAACGCCGACTTCCCCTTCATCAAATGTAGTCGACAACCGGCAGTATGGGCGCTCCTGGAGCTCCCCGAGTCACTTGTATGTTCGTCCTCCGCCCTTGAGGAGGCTGCGCAATTGTGCGCGCGATAGTAGGAGATGTAGGAGTCGTCTAGCTTCTTCAGATCCTCAGCCTCGCTACCCGATGCGAGGATGGGGGGCTGTTGAAGACCGACGACCGCGCAGCCGTCTAGTCGACGGCCACACACACACACACACATAGTGTCCTTACCACTCAGGGACTGCATCTGCGCAGTTTCGTACCGCTGCGGCGCGGTTTTGCAAAAACCGTTCTGCAGCGGCGCGGTTTTGCCCTTCACCCGCAGCCTGGATTGATAGTCATTGTGGGTGTGGGGGCCGCGGCCCAGGACTTTTGTTTGAACAAAGTTTTGACAGTACATTTCTGTCAGGCTTTGGAACAGCTTGTGAGTGGTCACTGAAGACCTTCACACCTTCTCCTCGCCGGTGATGGGGTCGATGTAGCAGTACTCGGGCTTGCCCTTGAGCCCCCTCGGCATCTCGCAGTACCAGGTCTCGCCCTCCCCGCGCTCCGCCCAGGTGTACGCCATGGGCTGGTCGCACGTGATGAGTTCCATGTCCTCCTGCGCGGCCACGTTGAGCACGGTGCGGGTCGTGCCGTAGCGGACGACGCTCGCGAAGGTCTTGGTGAAGTCGACGCCGGGCCGCATCAGGTTGCCCATGACACAGCCGCGCCACTTGCACCGGCCGTCGGACTTCCGGGAGGCGATCTCCTTCAGCGGGAGGACGCGCACCTTGGCGGGGCGCCGCATGGGCTTGAGCGTGCCGTTCTGGATGAGGCCGAGGAACTCGGTGTCATACGCCTTGTACCACGCGTCGCGCAGCTTGGGGTCGCGGATGTTGGCGATGTCCTTGTAGTGCTTGGGCACGATGTTGTCCGGCATGGGCATGATCTGGCCGTCCACGCTCGACATGTACGCGACGCACTGGTCCGTGGTGTTGCGGTAGACCGACGACGATGGGGATGCGGCCGCCGCAGCCGCCCAGATGCCGAAGGGCGTGGCATTGGCGGCGAGGCGGGCGTTGAGCATGTTGTTGTACTCGCCCGTCGAGACGCCGCCGCGGCTGCGGGTGGTGCGCGGCGCAGGCGCACCCGCTGCGGGCGGGTTGACGTTGCCGTCGTTGGCCGGGTCTGGCATGATCACCACCCCTCGTCGAGGGTCAGCCCCCCGGCGTGGTTGTCGGTGGTGGGGAGGAAGACGGAGTCGCCGCGGGTCACGTTGTTGTCGAGCGAAGCCTTGTCCGACTCGTCGGGCATCTCGTCCGCGGTCACAGGCTCCGGCCACGCGCCCTCGATGTCCGTCGGGGTGAGGTCGGAGGTAGGAGCACGGTACTCGTTGCCGTTCCAGAGCTCGTTGACGCTGAAGGTCGCCTGCGTGGTGGTGCCGATGTGCCCCTTGCGCGGACCCTCGGTGATGACGTACTTCCAGCCGGGCGAAGTGCGCGAGATGCCGAGGAAGGCCGCCATCTCGCCCGTGGGTGAGACACCGTTCGCCACAAGGTGGGGGGGCGACTTGACAATCATCTTGCACGCCCACGGGTAGAACATGTTCATCTTGGGGCGCTGCCCGGTCTTGAGCTCGTACGCTGACTTGCCGGTGTCGCGCACGGCGAAGGTGGCGTTGGCGATGGTGGCCGCGTACACCCAGGCGTAGCCCCAGTACTGGTAGAGCTGGGTGGCGCCATGCCCCCCTGCGCGCGCCATCATCTCCCGCACGATCCTGCCGCAGGTAGCGTTCGCACGCTCGCACGCCCCATTCTGCCACGGCTCGTAGGGGCAGCTGTTGCGGAGGGTGATGCCGTACTTGAGGCAGAGTTCGCGCACGGCGCTGGAGTTGAGGACGACCTCGTTGTCGCAGAACGCAACCCCTCCGCGGAACGTGTGGCCGTCCTTTCCCTCGTTCTCGGCGAAGTACTTGCGCAGGTAGGCAGGCGTCTGGCCCTTGGTCTGCAGGATGTACGGCGTGATGGTGCTGGTGTGCTCGTCGACGACCATGAGTGCGTAGCGGTGCCCATCGACGCCTACCACACCCTTGGGCGACCAGAGGTCGTAGTGCGACGAGCCTCCGAAGCGAGTGGCCAGTGGCCGGCCGGTGCTGCGCCGCGCATGGTACTTGGCGTTCGCCTGCAGCGCGGCGTCGTCGAGGCCCTCGTTGCGGTCCATCTTGGAGAGGTCTGGCACGCCGTCCGCGATCTTGCTGAGGTCCTTTAGCGCGTCGCCGGAGATGCACAGGGCGTGCCGCCAGAAGGTGCCATCCGTCGGGCGCCGCCCCGGCTTGCCGCGCACGATGGCCTTGGCGGCGTTGGCGCCGACGGATGCGCCGAGCGGCATCAGGTGGATGTTGAAGTCCTCCCCGAAGTAGATGGTCTGCCCGGAGGGGTAGTTGAGGCGTGGTGGGCAGAGGTCGAAGCGGACCATGATGTTCTGCGCCTCGCACTCCTTGACGCTGACGAGAGGCATGGCGAGTCCGGGCGCGTACAGCGCGTTCACCCATTCGGTGTTCACAACCTTGGTGTCCTGCGGCTTGGTCGGGTCAGCCAGCGCGAAGGCGTACGCGGTGCCGACGCCCTTCGCCTTGAGGTAGTCGTTGTTTGCGCAGCGGATGTAGATGGGCTTCTCGGGCTCGCGCCACCCGTGAGGGAAGAAGTCGGGCGTCGGGAACATGTTCATGCCCGCCTTGGAGTCGACGCCAGCGGCGTACGATCCCGGCATGTTCACACCGGCGGTCGTGTCGTACGCGTCGACGACCTTGACATGCCCGACAAGCGCGTGTGCCTGCATCGCGTCCATGCGCGCCACGTACATGGCGAGCATGATGCACGTGTACGAGAGGACGAGCGGGACCGTCTTGGGCACGTCGATGTCATTCACCGCGCGGAACATGTCGCCCGCGACCTTGCGGTAGATCGGCTGGAGCGGGTCCTCCTCGATGGCGTACTCTGCTCCGCCACCTGAGTCAATCGCCGGCCCGGTGGGCAGCTCGAGGGGTAGTGCGGTGACGGACTCGACCATCACGCCCATGTTCGAGGGCTCGTCCACGGCGTCGGCCACAGGCGTGCCGATCGAGGCAGGCGAGCCCATGTAGACCGGGATGAGGCACGCGAGCAGGACGAGTAGGATGGAAGCGCCGATGTACGGGCGAGGCAGCGCGGTGACGAACGAGGTGAACTTGACCCACAGCCCGCCGCGCGCCCGTGCCTCCGCCGCATTGCGCGCCGCCGTCTTGGCCTTGAGGATGGCGGGCGTGTCGGTGGGGTTGGAGTCAAGGAATCGCCGCGGTCCGCAGGTTGCGGAACCACTCGTTGAACTCCCGCTCGGAGCCCTGTTTGTAGGCCGGAATCACCAGCTTGTCCGTCGACGACATGTTGTCGTAATGTCCCGGGGATCGTTGCCCCGCCGCTACCAACTGTGAAGGTCTTCAGTGACCACTCACAAGTTGTATCCAAAGTTGTTGAAGACCGACGACCGCGCAGCCGTCTAGTCTACGGCCACACACACACACATAGTGTCCTTACTACCCCTGGACTGCATCTGCGCAGTTTCGTACCGCTGCGGCGCGGTTTTGCAAAAACCGTTCTGCAGCGGCGCGGTTTTGCCCTTCACCCGCAGCCTGGATTGATAGTCATTGTGGGTGTGGGGGCCGCGGGCCAGGACTTTTGTTTGAACAAAGTTTTGACAGTACATTTCTGTCGGGCCTTGGAACAGCTTGTGAGTGGTCACTGAAGACCTTCACAGTTGGTGGCGGCGGGGCAACGATCCCCGGGACATTACGACAACATGTCGTCGACGGACAAGCTGGTGATTCCGGCCTACATCCTGGGCTCCGAGCGGGAGTTCAACGAGTGGTTCCGCAACCTGCGGACCGCGGCGAAGCAACACAAGTACCTCCTCGACATCATCGAGGTGGGCACCATCCGGCCGGGCGCGGAGCGCGAGGCCGAGGCGGTCGCGCTGCACGTGCGCTACAAGAACATCGGCACTGCGGACGGTCTCATCCCGGCCATCATCGACAAGTACTTCGGGGACCTGGCGGTGACTCTGTCGCGCCAACTCTACGGTGCGCTGCAGAACGCCGTCAAGGACGACGACACGCTGGCCGAGATGTTGGCGGACGAGGACGCCGACCACTACGACGACATCAAGAAGGGCATCGCGGCGATCAAGTCGCTCATCGAGTCGGAGGACACGAACTCCAAGAACGTGCGCACGAAGGCGCTGCGCGCGGATCTCGAGAAGGCGTACTCCCCCGACGCTCTCAAGGACCTCACGTCCGCGAGCCTCGCCAAGTTCAAGACGGGCATCGAGCTGGCGAACAAGTTCCTCAAGGGCTCCCAGTGGCACCTCCCCGACGAGGTGATCGAGGAATACATCCTCGACGCGATCGCCGCCAAGGGGGCCACGCTCGGCGCAAACATGCGCGTGCAGATCGGCATGCAGCGCCAACTCGCCGCGCAATCGGGCAAGACGTACGGCCTCAAGGCGTCCACGCTCGCGATGCAGGGCATCCTCGACCAAGACAACGCGGACCGCGCCAACGAGGCCAAGGCGGCTGCGCAGGCGGCGTTCGAGGCGGAGGTTGCCTCGCAAGGCGCGCTCAAGGAGAAGCTCGCGGCCGCCGAGTCCCAGGTCGCCGCTCTCCAGGCGCAGATCAAGTCCGACAAGGGCGGCGGGGACCGCGGCGGCCGCGCAGCCGCTGGGCGCAAGCCGTGCCCCCACTGCAATGGGTTGCACGGTGGCAAGTGCATCGGCGACCTCATCTGCAAGGGGGTCCCTGTCGCCAAGGTGCTCGAGGAACTCCCCGACCGCATCGACCACGAGGCGAAGGTGCGCATGGCCCAGTCCTCGTACAAGAAGGTGTGCGCCAAGTCCCCCAGCCGCACCCTCCCGCACGACCCCTTCGCCAAGAAGTCGGACTCCACCGCGGCCGACCACGAGGAGGTGCGGGCGGCGCTGGCCGACTCTGTCACCCGCACGTTCGACCCGGACGGCATCGTCGGCGGCTTTGTCGCTGGCGTCGGCACCGACCAGGTCGAGGACACCTTCCCCGACTCCAACCCCACCGACACGCCCGCCATCCTCAAGGCCAAGACGGCGGCGCGCAATGCGGCGGAGGCACGGGCGCGCGGCGGGCTGTGGGTCAAGTTCACCTCGTTCGTCACCGCGCTGCCTCGCCCGTACATCGGCGCTTCCATCCTACTCGTCCTGCTCGCGTGCCTCATCCCGGTCTACATGGGCTCGCCTGCCTCGATCGGCACGCCTGTGGCCGACGCCGTGGACGAGCCCTCGAACATGGGCGTGATGGTCGAGTCCGTCACAGCACTACCCCTCGAGCTGTCCACCGGGCCGGCGACTGGCTCAGGTGGCGGAGCAGAGTACGCCATCGAGGAGGACCCGCTCCAGCCGATCTACCGCAAGGTCGCGGGCGACATGTTCCGCGCGGTGAATAACGTCGACGTGCCCAAGACGGTCCCGCTCGTCCTCTCGTACACGTGCATCATGCTCGCCATGTACGTGGCGCGCATGGACGCGATGCAGGCACACGCGCTTGTCGGGCATGTCAAGGTCGTCGACGCGTACGACACGACCGCCGGTGTGAACATGCCGGGATCGTATGCCGCTGGCGTCGACTCCAAGGCGGGCATGAACATGTTCCCGACGCCCGACTTCTTCCCTCACGGGTGGCGCGAGCCCGAGAAGCCCATCTACATCCGCTGCGCAAACAACGACTACCTCAAGGCGAAGGGCGTCGGCACCGCGTACGCCTTCGCGCTGGCTGACCCGACCAAGCCGCAGGACACCAAGGTTGTGAACACCGAGTGGGTGAACGCACTGTACGCGCCCGGACTCGCCATGCCTCTCGTCAGCGTCAAGGAGTGCAAGGCGCAGAACATCGTGGTCCGCTTCGACCTCTGCCCACCACGCTTCAACTACCCCTCCGGGCAGACCATCTACTTCGGGGAGGACTTCAACATCCACCTGATGCCGCTCGGCGCATCCGTCGGCGCCAACGCCGCCAAGGCCATCGTGCGCGGCAAGCCGGGGCGGCGCCCGACGGATGGCACCTTCTGGCGGCACGCCCTGTGCATCTCCGGCGACGCGCTAAAGGACCTCAGCAAGATCGCGGACGGCGTGCCAGACCTCTCCAAGATGGACCAGAATTCCCAAACATGCGGGTGCTCCTCGCCTCCCTCATCCCTCGCGTGGCCTCGTTTGCTGCCTTTCGCTCTGGCGAACCGTGGCTCGACACCCACGGCCGGGTCATCGATGCGCATGGCGCTGGCTTCCTCGTGGACGGCGGCGTGACATACTGGTACGGCTCCCAACGCAACGGATGGAAATGCTGCCATGACGGTGAATTCCCATGAAAACAAGTAAAAATCTCGAAAAAAGAAAAAAACTCCAAAAAAATCGGCGCCTGCGGCGGGCCATGGGACCCCATCTCCCCCCCGCATGGACACCCTCTGGGGCCCCCGCGCCGGCCCAGAGCGAGACCCCCACCTCTCCGCTCTGCCTCTCGCACACACTGCGCCCCCCTGCATGCTGTGTTTACTTTTCTCGAGCCCCCCCCTCCCCCCCCCCCCCTCCCCCTTGGCCCCGCAAGACCAGGTGTGTCGTGGGCTGTAGGCATGCGCGCCCCCGCACTGTCTCGCTGGGTGGTGGCGACCAAACTCACCACTCGCGTGCAGCTAATTCGACGTCCCTCGTGTCTCCGGCCTCCTCCAGTTTGTGCGGTCGCGCGCTGGCTCGCAGCGACGCAGGCTCGCACCCAGTATAACGGATCTCGAGCTCTTAGAGCTCGGGAGACTGCCATCCCTGGCGATGGCCGCGCGACAGGCCCCTGTGAGCACTTGAGCACCGGATAGGGTCGATTCCGCATGGTACGGGACCCCTCGATCGTCTCGGCCCACCGTCTCCCCCCCCTGTTTTAATAAAAAAGAAAAACTTGCTCGGCATCCCACTTGCATCCCCGCCCCCCATACCCCCGTCAGACCGATCCATGCACATGCGTGAGCGGACGCGGAGGCAGAAGGCGCTCGCCGCGGCCCACAGGGCCAGCCGTGCCAAAAGAGCGCCCTCCCCCACCACTGTGCCTCCGGCGCGGGATCGGCGCCTTCAGCGGCGCTTTGTGAGAATGCTCGTCAGGACTGCTGTGGCGGCAGAGCTGTGCGACGTCCCGACCGCCCTCCTGCTGGCCGCTCACGCGAGGGACGCTTCCTCGGCGCTGATCCTGCTGACCGGCATAGCGGAGTGGTTCGGCCGCCGCCGCCGCGGGCGAGGGACGGACTTTGAGCTAGCGCTGGACGCCGCCGAGCGGCTTGGCATCTTCGCGCGCCGGCAGACCTGGGACCGGTTTCGGCTGGACTGTCCGCTCGGGCGCGGCGGCCGCAAGCACCCTTCCGTGCGATGGGGACGTGGCAAACTCGCGACTGCCGGCCGAGCGGCTCGCACCAGGACACGTCCATGATAGAGATGTGTCCATAGGAATCTTCCCCGACTGCCGGCCGAGCGGCTCGCACCACCGCTCGTCGGGCACGCCCGTCACGCCGCTGATGCTGTGGCAAGCGGCGGAGGTTGCGATGCTCGTGGTGCAGCAGGAGGCGCACGCCTTCCGTTAGTCACGGGTTCCTACTATTTATGGATCCGACGGCCGCGCGACTGGGGTGCCACCTCCCAGCCGCTTGCTCGGAGGAGAGCAGACCCTGCATGCTTCTGAAAGCCCTCGAGGAGAGCTACAAGAACCATGTACGGCTTGCTCTCCTCCAAGCAAGCGGCTGGGGACGGCAAGGCCAGACGTGCAGCCATAGGCAACCTCTGCTCAGATCTGACCCCTCTCCACGCCCCAAGCGACTCAAGCGACAGTAGACGCGTCGTTCTCACGCCTCCTTCTCTCCGCCCCCTGTGTGATTTAGTGAACCCCCCCCCCCCCCCCAGGCGCATGTCATCTCCCTAGCGTGGCGGGTGGACATGTCTTAGACATGTCCGTGACATGTCCGTGACCTTTCCGAGACATGTCCCCCAGGCGCATGTCATCTCACTCGCATGGCGGGTGGCGGTCCTGCACATCCGTGGCCGCCCCCCAAACTCCGTCGAGGCGACCCACGGCGAGCGCGCCGTCACGATCGCCGCGGACGGTGTCTCTTCACGGCTCTGCGTGTGTGTGTGTGTGAGTAGGTCGTCACCAAGAGCGCGGTGACGCGGTTGCGGCGGGTGGTTCTTGGGCTCGAGGAGGAGAGCCACTGGCCCGCCCAGCCCTAGTCCCCCCCCCCCCCCCCCAGGGGAATGTAATTTCCCTAGGGGGGGGGGGGGAAATTTTTTAGAAATGTCCGTGAAATGTCCGTGACCTTTCCGAGAAATGTCCCCCAGGGGCATGTCATTTCACTCGCATGGGGGGGGGGGGTCCTGCAAATCGGGGGCCGCCCCCCAAATTCGGTGGAGGGGACCCACGGGGAGCGGGCCGTCACGATCGCCGCGGAGGGTGTTTTTTCAGGGCTTTGGGTGTGTGTGTGTAAAAGTAGGTCGTCCCCAAAAGCCCGGTGACCCGGTTGCGGCGGGTGTT